CTTGTCTTTGCCAACAATGTTCATCTGCTTAAACTACTAGCCGCTGTTCAGTTACTGATAAAGCTTGAGAATGAGCCCCAAGGCACGACGGGACGAGTGGGTCCCGTGACAGATCGGTGCACGCTTAGTTACTATGGTCAAAGTGCTTCCATGTGATTAAAACGCTCCCTTTCTGAGGAACATGAGTACTAGTTGTGTTCTAAGTAGAGTACCTAGTGTCTGCTTATGGATCAATGCAGCTCATCCTGACCTGATGAAGAAGACCTGTAGGGGTCTAAGTCGTAGGTGTGCTCATAACGCTATAATTATTACGTCCAGTTCCGTATAGGTGGAGAAAGGGTAAGACCAGTAGGAACGGTTTATTGTATACAGAAACTCGATGGCGCTCTAAAGTCCCGACGCACTGCATGCCCAGGCTCTGCGCGTGCGTCTGCTTGATAGCGTGCTGTGGGCGCAAATGCATGAACGTCATGCAAGAATGAGTCACTGGCCGCTTGATCAACCGTTTGGACAATAACAGTCGATGGTACCTGTGATTGACTGTCCCAGAGGAAGATAGAGGAGTGCAATCACGTGACGGTTTGGCGCAGGCGCTCCAGAACTACAGTGCTCCTTGAAGGTCGTTTGAGAGAGTTAGTGCTGGGCTGCATTGCTGTTTCTACTCAGGCACTTCAAGTGTTGTTTTTCCAACGCCAGACACGCTTATCTAGGCGATTGTAGAAATGTCCTTGGCGTTTAACCAGCAGATGTGGCACGGATGTTTTAAATAATTCATCTTCAAGTTTTTTAGAAGATGGGTTCTTGAGAGGTTGTACGCCGTAAATGCTTGTTTTTCATATCAATAGTTCTTCATTCAGAAGACTAGCCGGCGAGCATATGTTTGCTCTAAATAAATTCTCACTTTGTTTAGATTGTAATGTGGTCGACACAGGCAGTTAAGTAATAAGAGAAATCGATTGGTGTTAGTCTTTTCATGAATTGCCTGAACCATCCTTTGAACATTCAAAACTCATGGGGATCCCTAACTAGACCGATTTGCTTCTGGGGGATTTAAGTATGGCATAAACAGTAAACATTACGCGGTTATCCCGTAGTGGCTGTGATTGAAATCAGCCCAAATATTGATATCCTATTTCGGTCAGTGCTTATGGGCCCTTGAATATACTCATATAATTCAACTTAGAGATAAACTTCTGAGGAAATTAAAAATGTACGATTTAAGTTAACCTCTCGTTAACTGACCCTACGCAAGTCCCCCTGAGAGAAGACCCGACACTTTAACCAGAATTCAGTTGGCCATTGAATTATATGTCCACGGGCTGTCGGCTAGCTCAACACGGTAGATTGACGGTGGCAAATAGAACTGAACTGGTCACTCAGGCCTTAGCTGTCTTCGTCCGTCTAGAACGTTCCAATAATCGATATTTATTGATCACGCACTGCCCGCCCACGTGACCTTCTCAATCCGTGAAGCGAACTTCTCAAGCCCGTGATGACCAATCACAATGAAAGAGAGATTAAGAAGAGTACTTGAAGTATTTGTTCCCCGGTACGAATTCAAAACAGGCGTAGGCAGCAGGATTTATTCAATTCAACCAATTTCGTGACGGCATTTCAACTGCATCCCGTCGTTGTATGAGTTAGATAACGGCTAGAAGCATAACGCAGATTGAATTTCACAGAATATCAATGTATAACAGCAAGGGTCATAGTTCAGCGTTAATAACGATCAACTGAGGGGCACTACATTAAATCAGCCTATAGGGAGAAAGATAGAGAGCGAAAGTTGATGTAAACCAAGTCGTGATTAAAACTAGCCGCCCAGTTACCAAGGTAATTGGAGATTGACCACGTGGTCTAGCTGCTTGCACAGGTCGGGTTTCTCCCGCCGTATATAGGCCGCGCAGAGTCTGATTTGTTCGTGCCCGAGCAAGTTTTTGGAAAGCTGTTTTGAGGTCGACAGATTGACCACTGTCTAGCAGATGCTTCGTAACCGAAGATCATGGTTTTTTGCCTTCTTGCTTGTAAAGCCAAAAAGGCAAGTGTTCGGCGGCCCTGGCTGCCAGTTGCTTTTGCGTACGCCCAATCTACTTGAATCCGCGAGTGCACGCGAATTCATGTATACAATTTGGGGTGGCGTGCAATGGCAAGGCATCCTTTGTCCCTTTTACCAGAAGGTTTTTAGTTGGGCTGATGGAGGCAAGTTCAGCTGCCTTGTACGTCCTTTCTATGCCACAACGCAACCGTCGCTTAATTGTATTCGAAATACGATCATTCTTGAAGGTTAAGGATATAAGTACGAGCTTTCTGGAACCGATTGTTCCCTCAATTTTGGCTGTAAAGGATTGCTACACTTTTGCTGAAAAGTGCAGTATAGCCACGGTTAAGTCGGGCTGCTCTGATGCAGGAAATCTCTACAGATGGAGTCTCACTAGAGCAAATATTCCTCACTCTTTGAAAGTAAGTATGTACCAGATTTCGTTTCGATCATACTGGCACAAAACTAATAGAGATTAGGTATTTTTGGTTTTTTTACTTTACCGACTTCCCACTGTGGGTTGACCGACGTAACTAAAAGAACTATTCAAACGGCCTGCGAATTACCTCAGCAGCTTCAGCGTCCCTTGTCACTGAGATTGTGACCGTTTCCTTTCGAGTTTGCTGTTTTTTCCCCTGGTGTACTTTTACCGTCTCTCACCTTTTAGGAGAACAAGCTGGGTGATATCTGCTTCTCGCTGCGTTATGTGCCCACAACTGGAAAACTGACTGTCAACATACTGGAAGCCAAGAACCTCAAGAAGATGGATGTTGGCGGGCTGTCGGGTAAGAAATGCCCTGGTTGAGTTGGGTGCTTTTCTACTTGACATGTTTTTAATCATTCACAGCTGTCATGTTTACTACTCACCATCCATAGTAACCAATTTGATCGCTTTACAGTATCCAAGGTCGGACTCAGCTGTCTTCCGTCTCAGTAGAATTCAACAGTCAATTAGGCTGATGCTTTATGCTAAAGTTTCGGATAAACTAGTTCCTCCTGGATGGAAGTGGGCAACGGGCCTATAAATAGAAGCAAGTTTTCTTTGCAGGGGTAGGGGTAAATAGCAAGATTCCTAATTTAAACAAGACGTAGCCCCACTGAAGCTTGAGGTTTAAGAGTCATATCCAACTCACGCTAATAAAGTCAGAGAACAAAACAACTTTCAAATTTTAGGACGAGAAAAGCAACTTATTTTTTTAAATATCAGTTTTCGCGTCATTTGTACTGCAACCCTGTCCAACTCCAAAACGGTTGGATTTGAATTGACCCATGTTATTTAAGTACGTTCCTACGTATCTACTCTGCCTTAGTAAACTGTGGTGTCGTTTCATTGCAACCCTGTTTATCCCCCTGCCTTCTCTTTTTGCAGATCCGTATGTTAAGTTATCCCTTATGCTGGGTGGAAAACGGATAAAGAAGAAGAAGACGACAATTAAGAAGTGCACACTGAACCCCTACTACAACGAATCATTTGCCTTTGAAATTCCGTTCGAGCACATACAGGTGAGAGGCGTCGTTTGTTCTCCCCCTTGCGCACTTACTGCTGATAAATATTGTTCGGCAGGGTTCGGAAGATTTGAATAATCCAGTTGACCCAGTTGTGAAAAATTCGCGGCTCCGATGGGAGTCGAACCCACACAGCAGAGAAGGCTTTTGCGCAGCCAACGCTCTACCACTGAGTTACGAGGCTCACCGTGAGCCTTGAATTTAGTCACACTTGAGTTGATTTACCCGCACAACCTACTAATAGTCTAGTAGCCATTCTAGTAGATTCTAGATTAGTGCTTAGGACATCCTGCCAGGACAGTCAACAAAAGCCTTCCCTGTTGTGTGGGTTCGACTCCCACCGAAGCCGCGAATTTTTCACAATTGGGTTAACTGAAATTTTGTTTTGATATACCAGTGTACACATTTCGTCCTTTCCATCCCTCTGTTAGAGCGAGAGAAAAAATAAAATACGCCTAATTTTGAAAGTAGCATCCAAAATCGTAAGCAAAAAAGGCATCCTCTGAATCCGGAGGACAACAAAGTACACAAGAGCCTGAGGGTTTACATAAAATGTACATTTCTTTTTGGAGACTGTTCCAATATCACTTTCTGTA